CTGCACACGTGAAGCTGCACACGTGAAGCTGCACACGTGAAGCTGCACACGTGAAGCTGCACACGTAGTTGTAGGTTGTAAATTCCACATAAGAAGTTGTGTTAAAGCAAGATTTGCACTAAATGTCACAGAAATACAGCAAACGTGTATTTCAGGCTGCAAGAAAGCAGCACGAATACAACAGCTGCAGGAAAACAAGGCAACCTGACAGCGTGAAACAAGCGTTTGGAAGCCCACAGACATCACAGTGGGTGTAGCTGCATGCTGGAAAAGCCTCAGCGTCCACATTAGAACCCACAGAAGCTGAGCTTTCTCAGGCCTGCGAGAAACGATTTAAACGTGAGCTGCCTTACCCCGTCACACCTGTGGGGGAGGATTTATCATCATATAAATATCTTTGGGGAAAAATATGTTTCGAAGTCAGTCACAAGCATTTCACACGTTTCAAAGATTTTTATTTGCAAATAAACTGCTGAACGAGTCGGTGTTTGCAGAGGCAACGTGTGCTGGAGCTCAGCTTCAGCTTCAAATCCTGATTGTTGCTGATCTGTTCACAGCTCCAGGATCAGTTTGTGAGCTTCTGCTCTAACACCTGCTTTTTAAGGTTTGACCAAACTGTCAGTACAATGACCAGCTGAACGTTTTCCAGCATATCGTTATACAAGAAAGTGATACCAAGTCGCTCGGACGAGAATCAAATGAACATTTTGGATCTGTGACCAGGAAACTCCTGGGATTTACATACATTTGATTTATTTGGCAATAAAAGTCTTTTAAAAGTGTGAAATGTTCCCGATGGTTCTCGAATACATCATAAAATCATGTAAAACAGCAAATTTGTGCCAGTAAAAAAAACTTTCGACCAAGTCTATAAATGCAGATTAACAGAGCGTGCTGTGAGGCCATCTTTGAGTTTCTTTGAGGTCCTGGAGGAAACGCTTACACGTTTGCACCACGTCTGTAGTTCCTGATGTCAGTACTAGAAACAAATTAGAAACAAATTGTAAATATTCGTTCTTTTTTTCTTTTGTTTTAATAAATGAGGTGAATTAAAGACGAAGCTCTAAATTCTAAATAATGAGTTTGTTACTGAGTAACTGTGCATGTCCTTTCAGCTTTATTTTATTAATCATGTAAAAATGCATTAGTTGTATAAAGATTGATACGTCTGATGTTTTGAAGATGTTTTGTCATCTTTTCATTGTTCAAGTTTTTTAAAGTGACACTCGAGTTCTGGACGTTTTCTTTAATAAATGATTCACGAACCAACAGTCGGCTCTCTGGGATCCTTCATCGCACTCGCGAGCGCTTAAGTCAAACATGGCGTCTCCTGCTGTTTCATCACTAAGCCCACATGTTTACAGATGTTTTGCTGTGGCCTCCATGTGAGAAACAGCTCATCCTTCGTTGGGCACTCAGCAGCTTCATTCTTGTGAAGCTCAGATTGAAATGTTGTTTTGACTAATAGACAGCAGGGGGCGCCTCCTCACATGCAAAAGGAAGCAAAAAAATGAACCTGCTCTTTTCTTGACCTCTGACCTCAGTAAATAATTTCCTGATGAGTTTGTCACAGAAACTGTGCTCCTGTGAATTCTGTGGGAAGAGTTTCGGTCAGAACAGCGATTTAACGGCTCGCCTGAGGATTCACGCCGGCGTGAAGCTGTATACTTGCAAAACATGCAGGAAGTGTCTCCAAAATCACTCGAGCTTAGCGAGCCACGGGAGAATCTACATGTGGGAGAAACTGCATCTGAAAAAATAATCTGAAGAGGTTCAGCTTCATGACGCCATTCGAGAGGATCATGAGAGTCCACGCAGAGGAGAAGCTGTATTCTTGTTAACTGTGCGGGAAACGGTTCACTCAGAGTGGCAGCTTGAAGGTCCACATGAGGACTCGCATGGGCGGGAAGCCGTATTCCTGCGGGACGTGTGGGAAAAGTTTCAGTAGCAGCAGCAACCTGCCGGTCGACACGAGAACCACAGAGTGGAGAACGGGGAAGCTTCCAGGCAGGACGCCACAGAGCTGAAACATCAAATGATGGAGAAATCCTCTGTGATTGAAATGTCCATCACCCAGAGTCAGAGCGCTGTTAGAGGAGTTATGAATGCACCAACCCAGGATTTGGACTGGATATTAGTCTGATGACAGAAACCGGGTCAAGTGTCCTGACAACAGCTCAGTTGGTGGGCTGATCTAGTTTTTTTAGCACTGAGCTGTTCTGTGTTTCCCAAGACGATTGAAAGAAATAAAGTCCTGTTTTCATCTATTGTTTTACTTATTTTGAACATAAAAGAATGATTCAGTTTCTTCCTCATAGTGATGAATAAATCATTTCATAGGTGCTGATGTCAATACTGGAAAAGTTCAGTCAGTGCATCTCTGTGAAAATACTGTCTTCAGTTGTTAGAAAATATCTAAAATACATTTAAACATCATGCTGTTAACTTTTCTAATATTTAAAATGTCAGCAGCTCAAATTCTTGGTATAAAAATGAGACGTGACAACAAAATGAAGCAGGAACTGAGACTGAGACTGATTCACGCACCCTGTTTGACACATGTGAAGAACTGGTGATGTTCTTCCTGCCTTACAATGTGTAAGATTCATGAAACAAGGTTTGTGTGTGATTCAACCCACAACCCGCTGTTTTCATTATATTTATGCTCATTATAAAAATGTCTTTTTCGTCACAGAGACCTTTGGTATTTCAGAACGGTCTCATGCACAGAGACCAAGCTGAACTCGAGCTTACACGGCCGGCCTGAGGGCGCCTTGGTGTTCCCCGAGACGAGCTGGAGGAGGCGGTGGTGGAGAGGGTGGTCTGGGCTTCTCTGCTGAGGCTGAGCCACCCCGGATAAGCAGAAGCGAATGGATGGACATTTGACATGTTTTCTATGTTCTATTGTAATGTGACCTGATTTTACATTTTACAGCCCATCCAGACTTTTAGGAATTAGTTTTAGTTTTATGACTCGCATGATTTTCACTTACATTTAATCTTTTTGATCCGATTCTTCTGGCAGCAGAAAACCTTCGCAGCAGTCAGACTTCATGTTTCTGTCATTAAAAACATTTACAGTCATGTCAGGGTAATAAAAAGATTTCATATTTGTTTAATGCTGGTTTAAAATGCAGGCTGATGCTAATAATGCACAGCATCTTTCATTCTTTTTACCACTTTTAAGTGTAATTTTGGGCTTTGACCAGCAGGGGGAACTAAACCCTGATAAAACAGAAACAGACAGGCTGGCTACAATGTGCAAACTTTAATCAGGTGCCTCAGAACAAACATAATGTAAAACCAAACAACATCATTTATATTTCATATAAAATCTGGAAAATTTCACACTTGACTCATAATCAGATGGTTTTTCTGTACAATAGCTCAGTACGTTTAAATAAACCATGCAACACTCGTACTTTAAATATTTTCAGAGTTACAGGCCCTCTAAGTACACAGAGGTGGGGTAAACCGTGGTCCTTATCAGTTCACCATGTTCTTCCAGCAGGTTCAGGAGAGAGAAACATTAACAGAGGTTTTCCAGTCCTTAATTTCAGATGACACATTAACACCTCACACATTTAACAAGATCTTCTTCATTTTGACCTCCTTCACTGCTGTTGTGTAGCTTCAGTTACCCTTGTAATACAACAAAGTTATACAATTACTGCTATTATGACACCAGGTGATACTTGGAGTATAAATTACTGGTAGGTGAATGAACCTGAGTAACTGGTGCTAAAAGAATGATTGTTAGCCAACGTCTACATCTAATATTGCCTCAGCTGAATGTCCCAATCACAAACACTGCACACAGGAACAAGCTGAGACAACGTGCTCTGTACAGACATGAAACTATTTGAAACAGGAGCGATGCAACACAGAATGCAGTCATCTGAAAATCATTTGAATGTTATATCTGCGTGCAGAAAGCACACTGACAGCATTTCAAATGTTGTACAGGCCTCATAGTACAACCCACTGAATCCATGACATCATCATACTCCCTTACAAACATCCACGTTTCAATAAGACCCATTCAATAAAAACTGAAATGCACTTATTACAGATTCACCACATCTACTGGACAATTTGACGAAGATTGATTGTGCAGTCTGACACGCTGATCCAGGCCCAGGCAGCTTCATCGAACACAGCCTGCTATACATTTCAGAAAAATCGCTTAAAAGCTGAAAGCTCTACTTAACGACTTCTGTTCCCAGACGTATTTTCCACTCAGACATTACAGGCCTGACTTTTCTCCTGAGAGTCTGTGGGCTGTTAAACTAACACTGAGTGAAACTCTTCCCACAAGTCTGGCAGGACTTCTTCTCCTGCACGTTTATATTCTTATGTGTGCAAACACGTTACGACGATTGATGAAGCTTTTCCCACACTTTGCAAGAGTACAGTCTCTATCTATTGTGAATCCTCATGTGGACGTTCAAACCGCCGCTTTGAGTGAAACTTTTGCCACATATTGTACAAGAGTAGTCCTTCTGGCCTGTGTGGATCTTCATGTGTCGCAGCAAATGGCCACTCTGCCTGAAGCTGTTTCCACACAGTTTACAGGAATACGGTTTCTCGCCCGTGTGGATCGCCGTGTGCCGTTTGAACGCTGAAGCGTCAGAAAACTTTCTCCCACAGCTCTTACAAATGTGCGGTTTGTCACCCGTGTGGATTCTGCTGTGGACGGTCAAATCACTACTCTGACAGAAGGTTTTCCCACATATTTTGCAGGAATACGGCTTCTCTCCCGAGTGAATTAACGCATGCCGTTTCAACGCCGATGACTGAGAAAAGCTTTTCCCACAGGCATTACAAAGGTAGGGCTTCTCGCCCGTGTGGATTCTCATGTGAATCAACATTTTATCTCGAGCTCGGAAACCTCTCCCGCATGTTTCACAAGAAAACGGCTTCTCCTCTGCGATGCCACGTTGGTGATACTTCATTATAT